TTTTTTTTGCTTTTCTGTTAATTTGGAAACGTGTACGATGTTACGACTTCCGTCTTGTAATTCTGGGCCTCGCTCCGCTACACAACGCTGTACATGCATTTAGACGACTTCTGGACCGGGTGCATTTGGACGAGTCAAACATTTTAAATGTATCGGGTCCAGCGAGCGTCCAAATGCATGTAGACTATTGTGTACTGGTCCAGTGGAGCAAGGCCCTACGCGCGAAATCAATCTCTATCACAGACGCTCGCTGGACCCGATACATTTAAAAATTAAAATGTTTGACCAAGCTTTTTGTTTTTGGACAAAAGCATTCAATGCGCATCGTACACGTGTGTAAAGGAGGGGAGGAGTTGATCATTTTTTTTTTTTTTTTTTTTTTTATCGACCTTTAATCCACACAAGTTTCTCTGCGTCTTTGCTTCGACTTCTGCGTCTAAACTTGCGAAGGTGCACATGTAAACGAGGTGCGCGACTGCTGAGCTAAGGCTAACCCTTGTTCAATATATAATATTATATATTATATAACTAACTAAAAGAAAACCTGCCTTCTTTGCAGTAGAGGAGCTCCACAGGGAAAGTAGGGAAGGAAAAAAAGAAGGAGGTGCTCTACTGTCCTTCTTTGCAGTAAAGGTGCTTTACTGCAAAAAAGTAAAAAAAAAAAAAAAAAAATTTAAAAATCTGCCTCATTGGCAAGACGTGGATGTGAGCTGAACCGTTGCATATCTGAGTGATTGGTGACACGTGTCTCTCAGACAGATGCATCACAGGATTATAAATATTAAATAAACATAATCAGCATGAAATCGCGACCACATTACCACTTTTTTTTTTTTTTTTTTTTTTTTTTCCTCTCTCGCATGCTTATCATTGTCTGTGTGATCTACTTCTTGGTTGAATTGGATAATGTGGCTGCTCAAATCTCTAACCTGCCCACCAACATGCAAACTGAAAGGCCGGTTGGTGGAAACCACACTCTCTTGTGTCTGATTCATTATCTGCTTTCGTATGTCTGGTTGGTATGCCTATGTTGCTTTGCAAGGTCGATTCTTCAACCTTGAGCTGGTGTGAAAGTGGGCTTAAAACTTGAAGCAAAGGGTCCTTGTCTTGATCGCAATGGTGTGTGTGTGTGTGGGGGGGGGGGTGCATGTGGGGTGGGGGATGTGCATGTGTGGGGGTGAGTGCATGTGTGTGGGGGGGGTTCATGTCGCATGCGGTTAACTGGGACCCCGACGTTCAGCCTTGTCTTGATCGCTATGGTGTGTGCATGCATGTGTGCATGTGGGCATGTGGGCATGGACATGCGCCTGTGGGGGTGTGCACATGTTGCATGTGGATAATTGCAACACCATGTTGAGCCTTGTCTTGATCGCTATGGTGTGTGCATGTGTGTGTGCATATGTGTGGTGCATGTGGGCATGTGTGTGTGCATGTGTGTGTGCATGTGTGTGTGTGCATGTGTGTGTGCATGTGTGTGTGGGTGTGCGCATATCGCATGTGGTTAATTGCGACCCCAAAGTTCAGCCTTGTCTTGATCACTATGGTGTGTGCATGTCTGTGTGCATGTGTGCGATGCATGTGGGCATGTGTGTTTGCGCATAAGCCTGCGTGGGTGTGCATGTCGCATGTGGTCAACCGGGACCCCTATGTTCAGCCCCTGGTCTCCAAAACTGAAATTAGGGGTTTGGGGGTCTTCTTTTTTCTTTTTTTTGAGGCCTGTTTTTGTTTAAGGTCAAGGCTGTGTGCCAAATTTGGTGTCTTGTAGATCTATTGGAATTACCTTTTCAGCTAGGCTACCAGGCGGGCTGCCCGGGTCACCCTATTTTCCCGGGCGGTCCGCCCGTGCAAGGACCAGGGAAGGTCCCAGCCAAAAAAAAAAAAAACAAAAAAAACTGAACAACTTTTGCCTCAGGGTCACATCGAAATTCGTTACCAAACTAAAAAAAAAATAAAAAATAAACTGAACAACTTTTTTAGCCCAGCCGGGCAACTGGTCCCGGGCCAATATTCGAACGCTTTACTTTGTCTCATGTCTCATGTTACGTGAGTGATGTTGTGCATGAAGACGTGTTGCTTTCATATTCTGTGAAACTGTGAACCCGGGCCACTCTGGTAGCCTAGCTTTTCAGAAATTTCAAATTTGAAGTTTCCGAAATTTCTGTTGAGGATTTTTTTTTTGCATGAACGTGCACTTTTGCCTTGCAGTTTTATGGTTTTTTTTTTTTTTTTTACAAGTTCCCCCCCACGCGATGGCCTTGAGATATCGTCATTGACCTGACTGGCCCCAGTTAATGCAGAACGATTTTTATTCTGTTCATTTGACACTCTCTGAGGTTGAACTTGAGTATGTATTTCGACAGTTAATGGGTGTACCAACTGCCAACTGAGCTACTGCACCTGTTGATGTTCTTTTTTTTGGCTGTTAGTCAATATGGTGTCCACTCCATGAATTGGTATCCATGAATTGGTAGCAAGTCTGTTTAAACCAATTCATAGAGCGCCAAGTTTGCTTGCCACCAGTCCGTCTCCCACACATTTTTTCAAAGTCGCGGCTTGCATGCAGCTGCAACTTTCGGGGGTCGACCACCGGAGGAAAATGCCTGGCGGCGCCGGCCAGAAGGCGGCCTGCGCCGCTTTGTTGGTTTTCGGGCACGCAGGGTGCTGTTTCAAGCCCGGGAGAAAAGTGTCGTTTCCATCCCGGGAGAAAAGTGCCTTGGAAGCACTCGTGGTTTAAACCGCCACTCGAAGAACGGATCCTGCACCGTTCCTTTTTCTTGTCGTCAAGTTAAGTACCGGGCCAGAATCCACAGTGACCAGGCCCGGTCGGTAAAGGGTTCGGTGAGGAAGGGTGATGGTTTAATCATTGCAGGCTTTCACTCTCGAGACGAACTCAGATTGAAAAAAAAGCATCAATCGTATGATTACAATTAAGTTGAATTAACAAGTACAGTCAGTTGGGGAAGGGCACCAGAATTATTTTCCCTCACTTCACACTTGTTTGTACCCTCAGGTGGGGAAGTGTACAAAAAAAACAAGTTGTAGTATGCTCAGGTGGTGAAGGGACTTGTTTTTTTTCTGTACCCTTCCCCAACCTAAATCTTCTGTACCCTTCCCCAACCTAAATCGTACGACAAGTCGTAGTACAGTCAGGTGGGGAAGGGTACGAAAAAAAACAAGTTGTAGTTACACTCAGGTGGGGAAGGGTACCACAACCATTTTTCGTCACTACGGCAGTTTAGGCTTCAGGCTCGGGGATACACAATTTTTTGTCGTTTGTATTAAAACAGGTCCGGATGGGGTGGTGGGTTTACAAGGCCTTGGGGTTCTCTTATATACGACAACAATGACATGACAAATCGCTGAAAAATTGGACCCTTCATTAACCAGCATTCAGTCGAAAAACTTTTGCTGAAACTTTCAAGGCTACTTTTGAAGCAAGAAGTGAATTTGTTGTTTTTCGGAATGACAAACAACTCACAAGTGCTCAAGAGGCTCTGCTGTCAGACTTCTTGAAACGACATGATGAATTACGTAGGATTAGGGCATACGCACACCGGGCCTGCAAAATTGCAAAAGCCCAAATTGAGTCCTCGTAAAAGGAGGACTCGATCTGGCCGCTCATTTTGTGATTAGTAATGAGTCTAATGACTCATGAGTATACTCTTAGTTTTTGCGGTCAGGTACGCAAATGATTGGAGAATCGCGTACATTTGTGCATCCATGTGTGCGACTGGGGTGTTATAGACCGCTGCACTTCGGCGCAGCATGCGGCGTCCGGCGGAAAGAGGTGACAAGAGCGTGGACAGTATATCCGCAGTCGGTCGGTGCATTAAATTAAATGCGAGGACCGAATTATTATTAGTGTCATAACAAGAAGTTAATAACCATTCCCACTGAGAAAACAAAACAGCATTTCAGTAGGATCGTGACGGACTGTACTGGAGGCGGAGTTGCACTGGCTCGGAGGCGGAACCGTTGACAGTCTGCAGAATCTCCCCAGATGATGCTCTGAGTCACGCAGGGGGCTTCGCTCCGGTACTCATCACATGCGCAAAAGACAGAAAATAAGGCGGTGTGTCTTTCTATGTTTTAGCGGAAGATTCACTCGCAGTTTGCTTGTTTGGTGAGTGGTGGAGCGGCCTACTTCAAGCCCTGTTAGGAGTGGACGGCCAGGGTAGGTGACAGCACAAGCAGCAAGGCAAATCTGGGAGGAGTAGCACAAAGTGAGTGTGAGGTGTGAGCGGGCGGGGGTAAGCAGGGGTGGGCATGAAGGCAAACGCCGGCGAACAGCAAGGCAACACAAGGCAAGTGGGTGTGGGTGGGCAGCTTGGTAGTGGAGGATCGGAAAAGCGGAGGGCTGTTGGGCTGAGGAGACAAGTAACAGCCCAGCCAAGGGAGAGCTAGCGGGCGGGCAGGGCAGCAGGTAGCAGGGCAAGCAGCAAGACGTGTGATCGGGCAGGAAAGCGGGTAGCAGGGCACGCAGCAAGACGGGGGAGGCCCGAAAAGCAGGCAAGCAGCAAAACCAAGCAGCTGGGTAAGCTGAGGAACAAGTGGCTTACGCAAAGGGGGAAAAAAAAGGAAAAGAAAGAAAGAAAGAAACAAACAAACAAACAAGTAGCTTACACAACCAACATAGGGCGAGTGGATGGCCAGCCAGGCAGTGGGGCAGCACGGACAAGGGCAAGGCAGTGTACACATACAACACAGGCCAAAGCAAGTCGGCACCACCTACTCACACGACAAGAAGAACTCTACAGACTATAGGTTCATGCCAACATCAAGAGCCGCCAGGGAGCCACAAGATGAATGACTGTCGTGACCAGCAAAGGCAGAGAAACAGGCATCCCAAACAGCAGCCCCACTGAGAGCGTTGCAGGCAATCGAAGCAAACAGCACACTGACTGTTTGGCACATCTTGAAGGTGCTGCACTTTGACACCAAGGAGACACGGGAAATGACCAGAGCACACAAAGTTGACAACCACTTAGAATGAGAGGAACAAAAGAAGTTATAGATCCATACGATTGTTTGTTTGTGTGTGCGTGTGTGTGTGTGTGTGTGTGTGTGTGGGTGTGGGTGTGGGTGTGTGGGTGTCCCCAGAACTGCATATTGTCTTTTAGTAGCTTTATGAGTGGAAGGAAGCGATACCGGTCAGTGATGTGCTGTGACTATGCTGTCCGTGCGATGATGGTAATGATGCTGTCTGCTCTGGTCTGCTCTATCAGGTGTGATTCTGGTGCATGACCTCTCACAGAAGAAGTCGAAATCGAATCTGCAAAAGTGGTCAAGTGAGGTGGCTTCCCTAGCAAGCTTCGTTGCCCCTCATCAGAGGATGGAAAACGGTTTGCCTGTACCGAATTTAACTGTAGGTAACAAGGTCGATCTCTTGCCCAAGGATGGTAATCTGGGCAGCAGTGGGAACATTCTAGAAGTTGCACGCTATTGGGCCGAAAAGAGGGGACTAGTGCAACCATATGACGAACTGCCACGCTCAGAGAAAGTGCCGCTTGGCGCAGGCCTCGTTGTGGTACGCATTCTTCTTTCCAACCCTCTGGAGTGGAAGACTTTGCATTTCTTCTTTCCTCAAAAAAACGTCCCCTCCCTCTGCGTCTGCTTGATCTGAAGGATGTCGTTATTTGTGTTAATTCCGTATTCTCACCATGCTTCCTCCTCCTCCTCCTCCTCATCTGCCTGCTGCTGCTCCCGCTCCTGCTCCTCCTCCTGCTGCTTCTGCTGCTGCTGCTGCTGCTGCTGCTGCTTCGTCGTTGTCTCCTCCTCCTCCTCCTCCT